AATCAGCCTTTTTTTTTTTTTTTTTTTTACAATGTTACATTACTTAGTCTTCCACTACTTAGTAATTGTCCAATAGTAAGTGTAACTATTAGGTCTTTATAATATTTTATCTACGGATAAATATAATTTAAACTTATTTTCCTTCATATAAATTGAACAAAATTTTGAAATGATAAAAAAATGTATATTGTTATATTAAAAAATTAAGTTATTAACAAAGATTTAATTCTTAATATATAATATTACACATAAGACAATAATTTTCTTAGGAATAATGAAGAATTTTAATGAAGTAATTTAATTTTTTTTGATGAATTTTAAATATTTTTGGGTGAAATATTTTATTTGGATGAAGAATTTACAAAAAAAAATTAGAATTCAAGTATTTTTTTTTATTTCTTAAAATTGTAGAATTTAAAATTCTAAAAAAAAGTAACAATTTAAAATTTTTCTTTATTTTTTTTTTCTCCTACTTCTTTCTTCTCTCTTTCAAAATTGACATAAACAAATCAATACTTTTTAATATATACAACAAAAATTTGAAAATTATCAAATATTATCTAATATTATTTTTAAAAAATTATTAAATGTTTAAAATTGGTAGTATTTAATTTTATAAAATTAAATCTTAAAATTTTAATATATATATATATATATACATTCGTTTCAAATTAATTTTATCCATGGTAAAAATTATAACTGCCTTTAGCTAATGTTAAATAAATTAAATATTCATATATATTATTCAATAATTTAATTAGTAAATTTATATTGGGTTATTATACTACTCAACAAAGTTTTGCTGTCATTAACTTTAATTTTATGTGTAAAAGTAATTCTATAAAAAATGTGTAAAAGTAGTAAATATTTTTTTGTAAAAGTCATTTATTGTTAAATATTTATTTATTAGAAGATGTGAATTTAAATAATTACGAAAAAAGAAGAAAACCCAAATTTTTCCTTTGATAGATTGCTGGATCCATCTCTACTAAAAGAATTAATAGGTAATAATTGTTACACGAAACAAAATCACAACTACTGATAAATAATAATGTTCACCTTAAGTATATCAAAATCCGAGAAATGTCAGAGAAGATGACGCGTACAAAGCTTGTTGTTAGAAAGGATTCTCAAATGTATATATTATTATTATTAGTCTCAAATGTATATATTATTATTATTATTATTGTTATTATATTATATTAATAGAGAATAGAGATGGAGATTTCAATTGAAATAATAATAAATAATAATTTTAATTATTTTTTTTAAATTCTCTGAATAAAGTAAATATCATCTCAATAATTCCTGAAAATAAAATTAAAAGTTATTTTCTTACATAAAGATAATTAAACCGTCAGCGCCGTGCACTATAAAACGCTAACGCTTATGCGTTTCGGAATTTAGGGATTTGCGTTCAGTCGTGCACCTCACTGTGCTGTGCTGCGTAGTGATTTTGGGGTAAGGGTTTCTCTTCTCTTCTCATCGTACAGCTTGCAGGTACTGTTATACCTTCTCCATTTCGTGTTCTTGTTTTCGTTTCTCAATGCGAATTGAATGAGACTTCACCGTGATTTCTTTCGTTTGCAGTTACAGCACCGAAAAAGGGTTTGCCTAACACTGCTCGTGAAATTGACGGTTAGTTTCTATTTAATCCTCGTAGTTTGCAATTGTATGCTAATGTTGCCGCCTACGTCAGTCTATTCATCTTGTGTCGTGACAGAAAGAAAGGATATCAATATATTCGATTATTGTTAATGTTGTTGCTAATAGTTTATGACCGGAATATTATGTTGCCACCTACGTACGACTTTGATTGAATTTCATTAGTGAGAATATTAACAGCTTTTCACAGACTAACATGAACTGATATTATTTTTGGCAGGGTTGTTCAGTTCGTGAATAGATTGTTTTGTTGCTTGTTCTAAAAATTAGTGGATTTTAAAAAATACCGAACTGCTTTAAGTGAAAAAAAATGCAGAATAAAGAAGCAGTCTTGGAAGATGGGAAAATAAAGTCTGTGACTGTCGCAGACTGTGAGATTGCTAGAGAGTCTGAATTGGGTGAGTGGGCCAATTTTGGGGATGATGACATAATGCAGCAGCAGTATGAAATTCAGGCTGAGGAAGGCAAGAAAGTTCCATTTGTGGGTGACAAGGCAAGGCTAAGCGCACATCTTTTTGAAACTTCTTTCATTTTTTGTCTAGATATTTAGGTTTAATTGGTTTACTGTGTATAAGTGCTATAAGTTCCCTTCTCTTGAAGCTCTGATTTTAATCTATTTGAGCTTGAGGAGGGTGCCATGCATTATTTGTCCCTTATCATTTTTATTTTTTATTTTTTTTGACTTATTTTCTGGATGGAGGCAGCTGAATACGATTTTAATTATGAATATAAGAACAATGGTTTCTTGTGGCAAATTGGCAGGAACCACTGAGTAGCTTAGCTGCTGAATATAAATCAGGCAGTCCTATTTTGCTGGAAAAAATAAGGGTTTGCTGACTTTTATCTCTGTTTAATTTTGTGGTTTATTTTCTAATTTCATCTTATCATGTTTATTGAGTTCTTTTCTAATTACCCTTAATACAGGTGCTTGATGAGCAATATGATGCCATACGTCGTACTCGGGGAGATGGAAACTGCTTCTTTCGATGCTTTATGTTTTCGTATCTTGTATGTTTCGGTGTATCTAGCTTAAGTGCATAAAGGATGGCTATTTTGGGGTTTATGGACTGTGTAATCAAATATTGGTTTAATGCATTCGTAGGTCCTTGAATTTTTTTTATAGAAATTTTAATTAGATTCCTAAACTAAAAAAAAAATTGTAATTAGGTCATTGATCTTCTTCAATTTTTGTAATTAGGTACATGGAGTTAGTAAAGTTGTCACAAATTATTTTTCTGGTAGTTTCGAGTCACTTTTATCTGTCTTCAGGGACCCATTTACAAGAACTGTAGCAGATTAAGGAAATAATTACATTTTCTTTTTAAGTTTAGGGATCTAACTAAAAGTTCCCATGTTTTTTCTTTTGAGACCTACTACTGTATTAAACTTTAAATATTCCAATAACTTTGATCAATGATTAAACTGTCTTCAACTTTTTTTTTTTTGTCCCAGGAGCATATTATGGAATGTCAAGACCAAGCAGAAATTGATCGCATCAAAGCCAATGTTGAAAAAAGTAGAAAAGCACTGCAGACCTTGGGTTATGCAGACTTGACTTTTGAAGATTTTTTTTCGGTAACTTGTCTACTGCATACTTCATTCCTTAACTTTATGGGATATATATATCTGCTTATTTATTTTATAATATAATATATCCTAATGTAACATTTATATTGACATTTTAACAATCTCTTGGCATAATTGCCTACAGCCCTACAGCCAACTAATATTTGAAAAATGTTCCAAACTTTTGGTTGCTATTTTTTGAAATAGGCATATTGCACTGGGTGTACTGAATAAGCTCTGGTAGTTGAATGTAGCAACCGATACATTTGATATCTACAAATTAAGCCCTTAAAATTATGGGAGATGTTAGAGTAGATCTTCCTTTTATCCAGTTTTAATTCCTTAACTGTCTTGTTAGAGCCTAATTGAGTAAACTTCTTAAAAAGTACTTCTAGGAGAGAAAAATAGGAAAGAAAAATGAAATAAGCTTCTCCATAAGCTAAAATTAACTTATGCATAAGTAGATTTGTAGAAGCTCTCTCCTATTAGTTTCTCCAAAATTTGATCTTTAACTTATGCATAAGCTAGTTTTAGCTTGTGCAAAAGTTTATTTTAATTTTTCTTCTCCTAGAAGTGTTTTTGGATAAGTTTATCAAATAGGCCCTTAGTCATGTGATAATCAAGGGATTTCTTTTATTAAAGTATTCTCCAAAATTAACCACATCATATAATACTTATGTAACTAAATTTGTTCATGTAGGAATAAATTTGAACTCATTTTTTCTTTTATTTTCCCCCGAAAATTTAAATAAAATGAAGTAGATTACCTTAATTACCTTATGATGGCTAGTTACTATCTTCAGTATCATAAGTCTTTTCTTTAATCTTCTCTCCTTCCCTTGCAAATTACTTTGAGGTTGATATCTTCTAAGATCAGACATTGAAAGCCAACTTCAATAGAAGCCCATCTAGATCCCAAGCAGCTACCCTTATGATCCTTACAAAGTGCTTTACACATATTGGAGTTATGATTATTTATTTATTTATTTTTTTGCGCTGGAAGCTATTCACAATTTCTTGCTTATCTTCTTAAGTTTAAATTTTTCCAATGAAAATTTACCAACGAGGGAAATAAAATCTTCTAGTAAATGAGATACCATACAATAGAAAAAATGTCATGTTGAATCTATAGAAATTTTTTATATTGAGGGTAATAATTTGAAATTATTTTGCAATTTGTTGTTCTATTTGTCTTGGTGGAAGTATAGGCAATGACCAATATTGATTATGACTCAAAATCTAATGTATCATTTGTATGCTCTATAAAGTCTTTTGTCTATACAATCTTATAAGTTTAGTCTGTCTTCGTTTGTTTGATGGGTTCAGACTATACACTCAATCTATCTCCATCCATTAGCCTAATGGGTTTAATTTGTCTAATGGATTTAGGCTATCTTCTGATAGGTTCGGTTTGTCTTTTTATAAGACTTAGTCTTAATGTCTTGGATCCCTATATATATGTGTATGTGTGTGTGTGTTTGGGGATCATTTCTTAGTGCGATATAGAGAAAGTGTGATACCCTCTATAATACATAAGTAATAGAAACTAAATATGTAATTCTTTATAAATAAAACAAACATGTTCGGATAGAAAACATCACATTCTTAACTTAACAAAATAACATAATTAAAATTATAAGGAAATTAAACGAATGTTTTCCAAAATAATTCAACAGAACAACATCCTAATCTAGTCTTAGCTATGTCCCGATGTCACGTGTTCTATCAATGCAAAATCCAATACCGAAGCTTAAACTTCATTACCAACATCTTCAGTCTCATGTTGATATGATCACTTGCATAACAACCAAGGAAAACAACTCTAAGCAAAGGGAGTGAGAAACATTTCTTTGACTCGCGGTGCAAAAATGCAAATTGGATGGTCAAATACAAAGACACAAGGTATAACATACACAGACAAGCATTATAACCACGATCATATAGTCATAACATAATAAACAATAATAGATACATTATAATGCATTATGTAATGGACACAGACTACATGTTATCATGTATGTGGCACCAGTAAAAACATTATACTTGTGTATTGTCAATAACACATGTAGGAAAGTTTAGGAGTACATGTCGGGTCACATCATCTACATACTCTCACTAGAAGGACATACTATTAGGCTCTAATCAGGTTAGCTAAGCCATGCAAGATACGTTCTATGCTCACGAGGACAGGACTAGGACCTCTAAATCGAGCTATTCCCAAAGACTGATTCCCAATCTTTTATGCGAATGATGCGTGTCAAACAGACTCAATGCAACAACATACACATGATCTCACTTTACATATCACATATTCCTCTTATCAATCATATATCTCATGTACATTCTCAAAAACGTCAACTAATCATTAGTAAAAAGGTAGTATCAAGATCACAAGGATAAAACAATCATCTAATAGTCGCAGAGCGAGCTAAGCTTTTTGGAGCCTCTTGTTGAGCAAATAACATATAGTTGAGTGAGTTGAGCCCCCTAGGGCTTCTCGTTGAGCGACCAACATCTAGCTGAACAAGTTGAGCCCCTTGAGGCTTCTTGGTGAGCGACTGACATCTAAGTGAGTGAGTTGAGCCCCTTGGGGCTTATCACTGAGCAACCTAGCATATCTCATTGAGTGAGAATGCGATCTCCCCCCTAGAAATCACGTCTCCCTAGCGACTACGAGTTACCCACATCCAATTCCACGCATAAACTCATATTTTGGTAAAAGCGCTCTATAAAATGTAATTAACATTCTAAATCACTCAATTCACACATATTAATCAATATCTTCACAAAATATCACAAAATATCTAAACACCTAACCTTAGTTACTAATTCCCTTTCCACTTAATAAAATGTTATAAAAATTTAAATTAATCCTTTAATAAAACACCTTATATTATAATGCAAAATATATCAAATAATTAAGTAAATATTAAATAGCTCTTGTTAATAGAAATAAAAATACCAAACTTATCAATAAAATGTTTATATTATATTTTATGAAAAATGGGATGTTGTAGAAAGTGAGTGCAAAGTGCTAAATGTGAGCACAAAGAGCTGAGAAGAAGATATGTAGAGAGGAATGGAGAACCGGTTAAAGAGATCAAGGGGTTTCCGAGAAGAGCAAGAGTTGCTCTATTGTAAAGACTTAATCTTGTTTTCAAATAGTTATCTCCTCTCTCCCATGGATGTAGGCCAAATTGGCTAAATTACGTAAATTTATTGTATTCTCTTTTCTTAATCTTTTTCATTTTGCTATTGCGTTTTTTCTGTGTTTACGTTTTTATGTTCTTGTTGGGTTTTCTCGTTTCTACATTTTTTATTTGTTCTTGCATAGAGTTTGTACTTATTTGTTTTCTTTCTTGTTTTAGAACCAATAATCAGAAATACATATTTAATATTTTTAAGAAAATGGATTGAACTGGATGGAGGTGGTCTGGACCTTCCTATTTATTAATTTTTAAATCTGTAGATGTACTTCCAAAGGTTATAATTCTCAGTAATACAACTACTTTCCCCATCTAAGGATATATAAGTTAATTTTGATCAACTCTATTGTTGTAAAAAAAATTTCAGTTATTCCTTGAGCAGCTGGAATGTGTTATTCAAGGGAAAGAAACT